TCGCTGCTGGTGCGTCTCCCGTTCAGGCTGTCAAAAGAAGAGACGTGGCTCATCTGGCCCTCGCGTTCATCTGGAGTTAAAAAAGGAGAAAAACAGGTTTAATAAAACATGCAGATGGGTCTCTGCCTCATGGACAGAAACTAGGAGCTTATTTCATTCTGGAGGAGGCCATAGTCATTTCCTTTTACTGTCACCAGGAGGTGAAAGGTGGTCTAGTTTTAGCTACAGCTAGAATTGTATTATATACATATATGGGTATATTTATATTACACAAAAGCTATTTCTATATAATATAAAAATAATCTATATTATTTGGATAAATTGATGAATGGATAATATAAAAATAATCTATATTATTTGGATAAATTGATGGATGGATGGATGGATGGATGGGTGGATGGATGGATGGATGGATGCATGGATGGCTGGATGGATGGTGGATGATGGATGTGTGGATAGATTTCTAGATGGATGATGGATGGATTGTTGGATGGTGGATTATGGATGGATGGATGGATGGATGATGGATGGCTGGATGGTGGATTATGGATGGATGGATGGATGATGGATGGATGGATGGATGGATGGATGGATGGATGGATGGTGGATGATGGATGGATGGATGTGTGGATAGATTTCTGGATGGATGATGGATGGATTGTTGGATGGCTTATTATGGATGGATGAATGTATGATGGATGGCTGGATGGATGGATAATAGATGGATGGATAGATGGATGGTGGATGATGGATGGATGGATGTGTGGATAGATTTCTGGATGGATGGATTGTTGGATGGTGGATGGATGAATGGATGATGGATGGATAATGGATGGATGAATGGATGATGGATGGATGAATGGATGGCTGGATGAATGGGTGGATGGATGCATTGTTGGATGGATGAATGGATTGTTGGATGGATGGATGATGGATGGATGGATTGATGGATGGATGATTGTTCTTTTGAACATTTAACCCTTAGTTTCCTAATTGCAAAGCAAGAAAACCTCTTCTTTTTGTAACTTTGTATC